TTTCTTTTGAGGAGTTCATTTGGGGAAAGAGGGGCTTTGATAATCTGTCTGTTCAGAGTCTTCGGTTTATGGAAACGAGTGGTGGTGGTTCTTTTCCTTTGGGGTTGGGGTGAAACATAGTTATGTGTGGGTATATTGACAGGTTATGTGGTGGGAGAGGGTGTAGTAATTTGGGGATGTCGGTGGTAGGCGCTGTTTAGTGGAATAGGGATTGTGTGGTGGGTATCTAGATTTATGGTGTCCGTACATTTTCTTCGGTGAAGGTGTTAATTGGAATCTTGTATTGTGTGATTGTGAAATTCGATCTTTTTTGAAGAGGCGTGTACGGGATGATGAGTAGTGTTGGTATTTTTGATGGTATCTGGTTCTTATTGGGCTTCTACCCCTATTCAAGGAGTTGGACAGAGTTTCACTGTTTTGTGTGGGATGTTCTCACTTGCTGGTTCTTATAATCTTGTTTGTCTCTGTATTTTTTAATTTTGATGTGCCTTGTTTCTATTTCTACTTTTTGTATTTTGGAGAGGCAGTGGTAGGAGAGAAAGAGAAGAAGAAAAATGTCCGATCTTAGTGGATGGGATGCTTAGTCTTGGTGTGTAGGTGGCTGAGAGTCTCACTCTCTTTGGGAGATATAAGTAAATCAGGGAGTCCAGAGAAGAGCGCATCATTCGTGGTTGCCCCATATGTCAGCTGTGAGGCTTTCCATGCTGTGAATCGTCCCCATGTGTTCCATCCATTCATTGTCTGGTTTACCCCATTTTGTGCGTATGAGCTCTTTAGCAGCATTTAAGCGGTGTTTTGTTAGGGTCTTTTTGTAAGTGGAGATAGGGAGCTTTGTGTGGTGGAGTAGCATCGATAGCGGTTGCAGCTCTATGTCCGAGTCAACTATTTCTTTGACCAAATTGAACAAGCAGATTGAAGATAGTAGGTACCACCAGTGTCGCTATACCAAAGGGACAGCACCCGGGAGTGTCTAGCTATCTTAAGTGCATCTCATATAGCACCGAAACGCGCTTTGGGTGTTTTTTCCTCCTGGGTTATGGGCACTGGGCATGGCACTTTTGATTGCTTAGCACGTTTTGTTTAAGTATTTTGTTATAATTTTCTCCTATCTATTCTTCTGCTCCTATGTCTGTCTAGTTAGTTAACCAGGGAGAGAGGCTTTTAATTTTTAATTGCCAGCTTGTCTTTTTAGCTGTCTATTGATTTCTAACCTTCTACCCTCTACTTAACTAACATTCTGACAGCACCTATCCTCTGAATATTTACTAGGATAAATTGCAACATTTGATCCAGACATATATCCATTTTTTTTATATCCCATTCATTATTTTTTTGATATCCTCAAGGAACACTACAAGCTTGGATATCCAGTACTCTCTGAGGGAACACTAGTCTATGTAGGAGGATCTGTACTCTACTAGATATATGGGATATACCTTGTGAGGAGAATTTTCTCAGTATATAACAGGAGATAGATCATCAAGGAATTGTTCTACTATGTTAAGAGCCAGATTTAATAAAGCTCACTTATATTTGGTTCTGAACTATACCTGTACATTATGACTCGGATCTGTTATATACCTCTGTTATATAGGAGCACATTTAATTAGGCTATTATTAAGCATTTATTATTTGTCACCAGATCTTGCTTATACATATTTACCTGCCCATAGGTATTTTGTATTTTATACTTGTATAATGAAATTTGGGATTTCTGTGGGAAAAGCAAGTCTTATGGCTTGACTGGTGTGCAGATTTTTGTTTAGCATTGTATTAACTATCCACATACTTCAGGTGGAAGAGGTTTTCAATCACAATTTTTCCCCACCATAACCTATTTAGATTTTGCTTCCCAAGCACTACCAAGCCTCAATTAGCAAACCAGTAACCAACCTCATGCTGAAGAGTTGCATTAACAACGAAACAGCTGTCCATGAGTGGTTCACTGGTTTTGCATCTTATCCTAAATTGTGTTCCAAGCAGTTGTATATTGCAAACACAAATTAAAAGGAATCCATGTTTAAAATGGAATGAGGCAAAAATGTGATTCTTTGTTAAACTAATTTGCATATGCCCACCCAGAATCCTTTGCGGTTGTAACATCACTGCTGATTTGGGATTTCTGTGGGAAAAGCAAGTCTTATGGCTTGACTGGTGTGCAGATTTTTGTTTAGCATTGTATTAACTATCCACATACTTCAGGTGGAAGGGGTTTTCAATCACAATTTTTCCCCACCATAACCTGATTGGATTTTGCTTCCCAAGCACTGCCAAGCCTCACTAAGCAAACCAGTAACCAACCTCATGCTGAAGAGTTGCATTAACAACGAAACAGCTGTCCATGAGTGGTTCACTGGTTTTGCATCTTATCCTAAATTGTGTTCCAAGCAGTTGTATACTGCAAACACAGATTAAAAGGAATCCATGTTTAAAATGGAATGAGGCAAAATGTGATTCTTTGTTAAACTAATTTGCATATGCCCACCCAGAATCCTTTGCGGTTGTAACATCACTGCAGATTTGGGATTTCTGTGGGAAAAGCAAGTCTTATGGCTTGACTGGTGTGCAGATTTTTGTTTAACATTGTATTAACTATCCACATACTTCAGGTGGAAGGTTTTCAATCACAATTTTTCCCCACCATAACTTATTTGGAATTTTTGGCTTCCCAAGCACTGCCAAGCCTCAATTAGCAAACCCAGCCAACCAGCACCATGCTGAAGAGTTTGCATTAACAGCAGAAACGGCTGTCCATGAGTGGTTCACTGGCTTTGCATCTTTTCCTAAATTGTGTTCCAAGCAGTTGTATACTGCAAACACAGATTAAAAGGAATCCATGTTTAAAATGGAATGAGGCAAAATGTGATTCTTTGTTAAACTAATTTGCATATGCCCACCCAGAATCCTTTGCGGTTGTAACATCACTGCTGATTTGGGATTTCTGTGTGAAAAGCAAGTCTTATGGCTTGACTGGTGTGCAGATTTTTGTTTAGCATTGTATTAACTATCCACATACTTCAGGTGGAAGGGGTTTTCAATCACAATTTTTCCCCACCATAACTTATTTAGATTTTGCTTCCCAAGCACTACCAAGCCTCAATTAGCAAACCAGTAACCAACCTCATGCTGAAGAGTTGCATTAACAGCGAAACAGCTGTCCATGAGTGGTTCACTGGTTTTGCATCTTATCCTAAATTGTGTTCCAAGCAGTTGTATACTGCAAACACAAATTAAAAGGAATCCATGTTAAAAATGGAATGAGGCAAAAATGTGATTCTTTGTTAAACTAATTTGCATATGCCCACCCAGAATCCTTTGCGGTTGTAACATCACTGCTGATTTGGGATTTCTGTGGGAAAAGCAAGTCTTATGGCTTGACTGGTGTGCAGATTTTTGTTTAGCATTGTATTAACTATATATACATATATATATATGCATACACACACACACTCACAGACACATTCAGACACACACACACATACACTCACAGACACATTCAGACACACACACACATACACTCACAGACACACACATTCACAGACACACTCACACACATACACTCACTGACACACACACACATACATTCACAGACACACACACAGACACACACACACACACACACACACACACACACACACACACACACACACACACACACACACACACACACACACACACACACACACACACACACACACACACACACACACACACTCACTGACACACTCACTCACACAGACACACACACACTCACACAGAGACACACACACTCACTGACACACTCACTCACACAGACACACACACTCACAGACACACACACTCACACACACACACACTCACACACAGACACACACACTCACAGACACACACACTCACAGACACACACACTCACACACAGACACACACACTCACTGACACACTCACTCACTCACACAGACACACACACACACTCACTGACACACTCACTCACACAGACACACTGTAGCATCCGCAAAATGGGAGTGAAGTTTTCGGTATAGAGTTGGTTAAGATCCTTGGTCAGCCATATACCCAAATATTTTATCTGTCGTGTGCACCATTTAAAATGAAATTGTGAGTCACGGGTTGCGACCTCCTTCTGTGGTATTATTAGTGTTAGTGCTTCAGATTTGTCTAAATTCAGTTTGAGGTTTCCTAGTTTGCCATACGTATGGAAGACTTCAGTCGATTTAGTAGGGAGACTATGGGTTCCTTTAGGAAAAAGAAGAGGTCATCGGCATATGCCACAACCTTATGCGTCATACCTTTGTATGTGAACAGGGGATACCCCTGGCGTGTTCAGTTATGAATTTGAATGGTCGGGAAAAGGCTCCATTAACTCGTATTTATGCACTGGGTTCTGTATAGAGTGAAGAGATCCACTTGCGCCCACGGGTACCAAATCCCATTGTCTGAAGTGTCTGGAGCATGAATCCCCAGTCCACCTAGTCGAAGGCCTTTTCAATGTCGGTAGAAAGGAGGAGGGACTGACAACCAGCCTTCCAGGTGACTTGCATGATATTCAATGCCGTTACGGTATTATCCTTTGCCGGGCACAAACCCAACCTGGTCCGGGTTGATCAAGCGAGGGAGTACCCTCCCTAACTGCAGTGCCAAGACCATGACGAAGAGCTTCAAATCTGTGTTAAGGAGGGAAATCAGACGGTAACTAGCACAAGTTTAGGGGTCCTTCCCTTCTTTATGGATAACCGTGATAGTGACTCCAAGTGTGTCTTTTTAAAAATAATATCAGGAAGTATTACTTTACTGAGAGGGTAGTGGATGCATGGAATAGCCTTTCAGCTGAAGTGGTAGAGGTTAACACAGTAAAGGAGTTTAAGCATGCGTGGACTAGGCATAAGGCTATCCTAACTGTAAGATAAGGCCAGGGACTAATGAAAGTATTTAGAAAATTGGGCAGACTAGATGGGCCGAATGGTTCTTATCTGCGCCACATTCTATGTTTCTATGTTTGAGAGCACTCAAAGTTCCTCTAGCGATATAGGGGTCTCCAGTTCTTCTACAGTGTCTTGCATCAGGGTCGTAGCTATGTTGTTATTCAAGTGGTCCCATATGAAGGTTGTGCGTTGTGTGCGTTCACCTTCCGTGTCACCTGTAGGGAGGTGGTAAAGGTCTGAGTAAAACCGGTGAAAATAGTTTGAGATCTTCTCGGGGAGCTGCGTGATGGTTTTGTCTCTAGTGGCAATCTTAGTAATCTGGTGTAGCCGTCTGTGTTTCCACAGCATCCCGTCTAGGAGATGACTCCATTTGTTGGAGTTCATAGAAAAATCTGTTGGATTGTCATACAGCTAGGGCCAGCCTTTGTGAGAGAATCTATTGTAGGTCTCTACAAGCCTCTAAAAGCTCTTTGTAGACGTCTTCCATTTGGGCATCCTTGAGTTGTTGTTTCAAGTTGGTTATTTTGGAAGTTAGGTTCTGTGTCATTCTTTTGTGTTCTTTTTTGCGGGCAGTTCAAATTTTGATAGAATATCCTCATATTACACATTTTTCGGCCTCCCATAGTTCGAGGGGGGTGTTTCCTGTCTGTCATTCTCTTTGAAGTATTGTAGCATGACAGTTCACGTTGCTTGTCTCCCTTCAATATCTGTGAGGGTGTGTTCGTTCATTTTCCATATGAGTTCTGCTGGTTTGTATAGAGGAGATTGCATCTGTGTCAGGGTGAGTGGTCAGACCAACCCTGTGGCAGTATGACGCTGTCTCATAGCAGGTGAAGATATTCCTGTGCTATCAGTATGTAGTCCAACCTTCTATATCTGCAATATAGTAATAGGAGTAATCTCGGTCGTCCGGGTGCAATATGCAACAGCTATCTGCCAGACCAGCTTCACTTATCGCTTTCTGAGCCATTCAAAGACTGCTTTGGGGGAGGGAGTTGTGTCCTCTGGGGGTTTCAAGTCTCGGGTCTAGTGCAATATTGATATCCCCAGCCATGTGGAGGAGACCTTCACGGAATTTCTCTAGGAGTGACATAACACATGTGTATAAACACATACGAATGTGTATTTCCGGTCGACTACATTCCCCCTTCAGAAATAGATATCGGCCATGTGAGTCCACCTGTTCCCCAGTGCATTGGAATGGAATCAACCAGGAGAACAGTATGGCTACCCCGCCTTCTTTGCATCTCTGTGGTTGGCGAAGAAGCCCATCGGGTATCTCGAATCTCTAAGCATAGGGTGTTCTGTTGCACGAAAATGTGTTTTCAGGAGGAAGACCACAGAAACCCTGGCTGACCACATTGCTCTTAGTAGATGTGATCTATGCTCTAGGGAGTTTATGCCCCGTACGTTGTTAGACAAGAGGCACAGCAAAGAACATGCAAAGCCTGAGGTCATGGTGGAACCACTCCGGGGCCGCACTGCCCTGCCCGGTGAAGAGGAGGGATGAGAGAGGAGAAAAGAAATCAAGAGAAGGAGAGAGAGAGAGAGAGAGAGAAAGAAAGAAAAAGGGAAAGGCGGGAAAGGGAGAGGGAGGTAAAGAAGATACTAGGAAGGGAAGGGGTACTACAACGGCTGCAGTGAACTATATACAGAAAGCAGGTGAGACCAAGCACCTAGAGCTGTGAGAGGCAGGAGGCCAGAGCCTCCTGGCTCTGTGCTCTTTCACAAAGAGGGTGTCTTTCTTGGGTCGTGAAGCTTTAACCTTCGCAATGATAGAATTTTAGCATCATCAAAAGGTACACAAAAACTTTTGTTTTGTAATCAGTAAGTAAGTGAAGAGCCATGTGGGTGAGTGCTCGGGCCCTGGCCAAGCTATTGTTGCTTAGAAGTTATCCCGCTCAATCAGGTGTGCCTCTGTGTGGTATAGATGCCGTGTATTATGGTGTTTCATCTCCCTTCTCATCAGTTGTGACCACTGTCTCGCCCTCTAGATCATCCCTTGTCCCTAGTCAACTCTACTGATAGGGTGGTGCTGGTGGTATCCAGCTTCCCTGAAGGTGAGTTCTTATTGTCATAGAAATTCAGTGTGGGCTGCCTCATACTGTAGGCTCGTATATGGTACGAGACGGATCAGTAGTCCTGGTGGAGGAGATAAATCTCCCCTCTCGCCGGGTGGGTTTGTTTGCCCCCGTGGGAGGGGAATCCTGGGTGGTAGCAAGGATCATGTCCTTTTTCATTGTGCTGCATTTCAGATACATGTCATAACGTGATAGGTAGGTGTTATTATCGACTTGTACCTGACACTAAGGTGGGACACACACAGTTATACAATAACATGGCATCAATAATACAGTTGCAGAAATATGATGTGGGTAGTATGAGGGCTACTTGTGGTTAAGCAGCAGGGAGGGGGGGGGAATACCCTTGGGGTGTTGAAACCATCTGGGGTAGGCAATCTGAAATGCGGTCACAAGGGTTCAAAATCTACCATGCAGTACAAGACTCCAATCTATGGGGTTGGTGTGTAATAAGCATGTGATGTATACTCTCTTTTACTTCCCTTCTTCCCCCTCCGGTGTCCCCCCCCCAGCTCATGCTCCAACCTCCTCACGTCATCTCTCCTCCGGTTGTGTCTCTTCCGACCGTAGCCCTCCTTTTCCCCCTTCCCTCGGCCCCCCCTTTTCACTTTTTTTTTTTTTAATACATTTTGTCCACATTCTGTTTTGTTAGAAGACAAATGTGATTTCACCATCATAAAATTCCCTGCAAAGTGCTCATTGTGAGGGCCCAACTGAGTATACGTTTCAGCTCATTCACATCAATTTATGAGGTTTCTTCTTTTCCTCAATCCTAAATGTGTAAAGAGCATTTTAAAATACAAAACATTTTTGACTCTTTTAGCTCTATATCTGCAAATTAAAGTGTTTAAAACTGCCAACCTGGCTTCTATGTGCGCTAAGGAAAATATAAACTGAACAACAAACAATGGCAAAGTGAAAGGAAAAAAAGATGGATGTGATTAAAACTAATGGGAAAAGCTTTGTGGAACAGTTTTCTAGACAGTTTATTTTAGTTAAGTAGGGAGCTATGGAACTGTGCACAATGCACTGGTGGATATCAATATCCTTTCAATGTCTTTTTGAAAAGCTTCCAGTGTTCATTTTCATTATACTGTATTATATTTTTATATCTGTCTGTTTCTTAGTAGGGGTTTGTGTATCTTTTTGTGAGGGCTGCATTCAGGCAAAGAGTTTCAAGGGACGATATGATTGCAAAGGTTTTCCACTAGTTCACTGTGGCTTGCCCAGTGGGTTAGAATTCTAGTTCTCTAACAAATACAAAGAATGGCCTTGCATTTTGGAATATCAGGATATGATATGTTCTGTTTGCAGTAATATATTGTGCAATAATAACTCAGCTATGTATGGTATACACTTATTTATTAGACTGTGCATTCAGTTTTAGATGAATCAGCAATTCGTTTAAAATTCTGTAGTCCAAACTTGTTTGTTTTGCAATTTGGGCTTTAACATACTAACTATTTTCCTATTGGCAGCATTTAACCAGCAGGCAAACTGTTAAAAAAAAAACAAAAAAAAACAACCTTGGGGATTCAAGTGTTACTCATGTTGTGGCTAGCCAGTGCTTACTAGTTAGATACCACATTAAAAAATACCATAATAAAAATATTTTTAAAAAAGTATATTGGGGTCAAAATGCTGCCCAGCTAAGAAATGCCTCATCCTATGGAGATTGCCTGTAAAATAACTGGAGTGACCTGGCACAATTCCCTGCATGCCTTCACCCATGTGCATTGGATGGGGGATTAAAATTAAATAATCTGGAGATGACTGATCACTTTTCATCCCCAGCCCCCACTCTCTAAAAAAAAAAGAAAGATAGGGTGAACATTCTAAATTCCCCCCGCCCATGAGTGAAAAGTTAGGGACATCACTACTGCCCACTTACTAAATTATTGCAGCCTACTCGCTATTTAGTATACATGCCCCTAGCCGTGGCATTGAAGGTAGAAGCATATGTTTAATACCTCCCTTATAACATTATGGGGGTCCTATTGACCCCAGTAGGCTTTTTTTAAATGTATTTTTTAATGATTAACAGGGTTAGTCATTTATAAAGGCTAATAAATGTGCTTCTGATGCACATTTATCTGTGGTTATTTTGAGAAGCTGACTCATTTATTGGGCTCATCTGCTTGAATTTTTGCTTGCATTAAGTCAAGCCTAAATCCGATAAACAAAATGGCCACAAACGGTCAACAACTATTCACTGTTTGCAGCCAATAGAATTAAATTGAGGGCATAGTTGCTTATCTTAATTAAAACATGTCATTGGGGAAGATAATATTGCTCAGATTCTGTGACTATCTCAATTTACATTATTGTCTAGTGAAGCCCCCATCCCTCAAGCTTTAGTTTAAGGAAATAGTTCTAGATTGACTTTGAATATTGTGGCTGTATTGATGCTTTTATGAATTGAAATTCATTAGGGAATTTTATTAATCATAAATAATTTTAGGCAATTTAGTAATGGTGTTTACTTTACATTTATATAGAAAGTATCAAACAATTCCCTGAGAAAACATGATTAAAACGTATACTTGGAACATATTAAGGCTACATAGAAGATATTTCCAGTTCACTTTTAGGGGTTGAAATCCTGTTTTTAATGCTATGCTAATATTTTATAATTTCCGTATGCATTATGAGTGAGCATTTTATATTTTGAATCTGTTAATCCCTCCTTTCTCTTTAAATATAATCTAGTACTACTTTTGAACCAAACAATGGGAATATATCACAAAAATAACATTTTATGGTGAACAAAAGAAAAAGATCCATTACTGGATTTTGTTCATTGATACTAATATTTATTTATATTTCACTTTTCCTCTACAGTTTTCTTTATAAGTTTGACTTTTTTCAAATTAACATGAAGAGTAAATAAATAAAACAGTAAATCAGGTTAATTAATCAAACTTGAGTAAAATAAAAACATACATATTTATCTTTAATTAGGGCCTATAATTTATTTCCTTTTCAACTCACATTTCTAATGATAGCTTTCAATTTATTAAGTGAAAATTATTTCAAAAATACAGCATTGCTGAATTATATGAAGATAACTATTCAGGATATACATTAAAACACTTTTATAGAATGATTCTTCACTCAACAGTCTAAACTATCAATATAATTTTATGATTAGATACGTTAAATGACTCATAGGTGATGACTTCTAAAGTATTTTAAGAGCAGACCAAACTGGCAACCAAAGAAGGTACATGGCATACATGGTAAAGTACTGCTGCATGTTAATTGTGT